TTCTTTCTCGTCCTCTACTTCCATCCAATTGTTTGCACGGAAGAGTGCATCTTGAATTGTGTCTGGCTTATGAAGTATTAAGTCTTCTTTAAACCTTGAATCATGTCGCAATCCTTTTCGTAGGGCAGATAAAGCTGATTGCTGTGAGATTCTTGGGAGCTTTGACAGCACTCCTTTGAACTTGGTGACGAAAACTCGAAGTGACTCATTTGATCCTTGCGATAAGTTCCAAAGATCGGCATCCGAAACGCTTTTTTCCATAAGGATGGAATATTGCTTTAAGAATACGGCTGATAGTTCGTCGAAATTGCTGATCGAACCCGGCTCTAATTGGGTGAACCACATTAGAGCTTGGCCACATAGATTTTCCGAAAAAAGCTTGCAGTAACCTGCGTCCTCATCAGCTTCATCCAATTCGACTCTTCCAGCAGCGATCAAAAAAGCTGCGAGTTAGCTTTTTGGATCCTCCAATCCGCTGTAAGGGTCCAACTTGAGTTTCCGGGAATCTTTGATCCTCAAACACCAATTCGCGAGATGAAAGGTGTTCGCCTAGCTTCTTCAATGACTCGATTGATGTCTGGCTCCGAACTTGTAGCTTGATGAAATTTTGATTTCATTTCTTTTAACTCCTGGCTAACCTTCCTCATGGTCTCGAACTGGTCGAGGTTCTCCTGCTCGTATTGAGCTGCAAGTTGTTCTTCATCTCCGAGCTGTGTCTCTTCTTCCAACGTCTGAACTACATTATTAGTAGCACCGGGAGTTGTTTGTCCGCTGGTTTCATTTCGTGCGGCGGAACTTGGCGAGTTGAATATCCCTCTTCGGATTCCCACAAGGTTTCCTGCACTTAAAGAGCGAACACGAGTTTGTATAGTACTGACGTTTTGACTAAGAGATACCTGGGATGTTTGCAACGTATCGACGGCCTTTTCCACATCCGAGAACTTTTGTGATATGTCCGACATGGTTTGCTGCATAGCTTTGAGGGTTTCGGCCAATGATGTCTCAACGGTGTCTCCTCCGGACATTGTTGCTTATCTCGAAAGTGTAATAAAGAAAAATCTGACCACTCATGAATCCTATTTCCCCACAGACGGCGCCAAAATGTGGATGTCGGATTCACACACTCAAGTATTTTTATTAGTAGGAAAGATTATTCTTGAGGGACAAAAAATAAGAACGTAAAAAGGCTTATGAATACAAAAATTGCTATCGTATTCCTTGCTCTAAAAAAGATCCCTTTACATGGCCATTGGCCTCCATATTTATACATAGAAAAACGACATTAAAATGAGTAATTAAGTACAATTATTTCTTCTTAAATGTGTCCGTTTTGATTCCTTGACTTTAATGCTCAACGTTTGAATTTGAGTTGACTCTGATCTTCATGGGCCTCGCCTTTTTGGCCCAAGTGTCCTTGAACCGACTTACCCGTGTCTTCTACACCGAACTCATGTCACAGCGCAGTCACTTCGGATTCTCGAAGTGATGACAACCACTTCAACCGTTCCTTCGGCTCATGGGTCCAATGGGCTTTATCCTTTATGGGCCATTATCTTGACTACGTGGCAATCTTTGGTTGGTCTCGGACTTCTGGTGCGGGATCCGACACCAACAATTAGCCCCCCAAGTTCTTCGAAGTGACATTCCAATTCGGAGGACTTTAAATGCTTGAATGACCAAAGATTGCGCTCGAGAATCTTCTGATTTTTTCCCGCCAAGATCCCATCAGACCTTTAATTTCGGCGCTACCCATATTTAGTCGCGTGACATCTGTCGCCATTATGACCGTATATCGATTATTTACTATTAAAGCGGGAAAAACCTTCCCACTTCTTCCACGATTCCCAAGACGGTTTCATCATTATCACCTAGCTTGCGTGAGGTAACCTTCTTTTTCATTCTTACTTTTACTCTTGATCTTTGTGGTTAAAACTCCTTCTACTTCTCTCTCCAAATTTTCTTTTTCCCGAAACTTGAATTTTTCATTCTTCCCAATGACTTCCGATTCCGATAGACCCGAGTCTCCGTCTTTCGATGAGAGGCGTTCTAGCAATGATGAGTGCACCCGCCCTAATGATATTGCCGGTCCGCACTATAGATCCACCTGCACCCTTCAATCCCTTGAGCGATTGAAGGGGCTCTGCCGAATCCCACCGGGAATTATGGCAGAGGCGCAGATAGCTGATCCTACGGAGTCCCAGAAAGCCACCGCGACGGCTACTTCTGTGAACACGAGATCTATTTTAAAGGTTGCGGGCTGACCTTTCCCCTTCCCGAAGCCCTGGTTCGATACCTAGCAGCTCTTGAAATTGCTCTTCCTCAATTAACCCCTAATCTTCTTCGTACTATCCTCGGAATTATAACAATCGCGGCGGAGGCCGGATATGTTATCGGAGTTACTGAACTAAATGAGCTTCTAAGCGTAAGAAGTTCATCGAAGAAGACGGGGTACTTCTCAGCGTATCCGAACGCTAATAGAAACATCATCTCGCACCTTCCAAACAAGGATGAAAATTGGCACCATCCTTGGTTTCTGATTAAGAAAACTCCCGCTTCGATTGGAAATCTTGCTTATTTACTCCCATCAAAGTGGTCTGCGAAGCCTGGTAGAGATTAGGTCGCATATACCTTTTCCGGTTGTTTTATTATCTTTATTGACTAAAACTGTTGTTTCATTTCGCAGCTTTCATCGCTTCCACCCTCCCGTCCAAAGGGTTCATCGAATTCTTCAAGATAATCCTCGAAGGGGAAACCCTTTGGAATTCTTTCACTCTTGAACGGTTCCTAGAAGCTAACCACAGGCTCAGGATGAGTCCACCGGGTCAACTTTACCAACTTTCGCCTCCTCCCTCAACTCAGGGGATGTCATCTCGGGCCCTTGCGGCCAAGCGTAAGGTGCTTTCCAAGCCGATAGCTGAGGCTTGCGAGGAGAAGAAAAAGTTTCTCGCGACTTCTATAGATAAGAAAGACTACAGTAGGACCCTGCTGGTTGATGATGGCAGCACCGAAGGAGCCAGATCCGTTGCTTCTTTCAGATTAACTCCTCGTCGTGATCATCGTGACTCACGTTCTCCTCGGAGGGACCGATCTCCTCGCCGTGATTCACCTCGTCCTCCCCGAGATGATTTTAGCAACGAACCACTTAAGAACTTGGTTCGCAGGAAGAGAGACAAGTCCTCTCGTAGTGATTCTTCCCCGCGAAGGGAGAAGTCAAGGGCCCGGACTGACCGTTCACCTCGATCATCCCCTCCTATTGAACCAATGGGTCCTCCACGACCGGTTGAAATGTCTTCCTCTTCCCAGCCTGATAGTGAAAAGACTGACCGGAGAAGACTTGGTCAAAGCTTCATAGATAAAAGATACGATCATGCCTTCCTAAGTTTTAGGGAAATGATCTCCACATGCATTCCCATTTATCCATGTTTCCTAGTTTGTAGGATTTGTGAACGATCCTTTGCTTTCTTTGTGTATTTAAAGACTTCCAAGTCATGAGAATATATTAGACATGAAAATTGACAAAAACAGAGTTTATCTCTTTGGTTCCTTTGTGTGTTCTTGTGTTAACAAACACACATCTCTTTGGCTTTGAGGGGACCGTTTTTGTATCTCGCCGGCTAAAAAATATATTGTTTGCTTATGACCCTATGTTAGGGCCGGCTTGCGGTGGTTCTTTGGTGGTGGGAGCGGACCAAGAAACTTTTGATTGAGTGAGAAGTAAGAGGAGACAAAATGGTGTGGGTTTGATGTCTCAAAATGTTATCGAAAAGTGATGAGAACAAATTAGACATTTTAAAATCTCTCAGTAAAAGATGGCTTCAGGTCATTTTCGGAGATTTCAATTACGATATTAAGGTTTATAGATTTAAGAATCTTATTTTTGCTAAGAAGTGAAAGATACATGAAACTTAGAGCACCCACAATGGTGCATGTGGGTGGGTGTATGTTAACAATATATTTATTATAATTTTTTTAAGGGAGAGAGATCAGAGAGATTTGGTTAGTGGAGAAAGAGAGAGGAGAGAGAAAGAGATAGATGAAACATAAAACATTAAAATAATACTCACACCCAAGTGTTATCTCACACCCATGTGTTACACTATTCTATTATTTTCCTTTTTAATAATACTCACACTCCACCAAAACATACACCACTGTGTATAGTCTTAGAAGTAGAAGGAATAATTTTGGTTCAAAGGAGAAGGTACTAGAGAGAGGGTATTTATGGTGGCTCGGGGAGGAAGTGTGATAGATATTTGTCTAAAAATTAATGAAGTTAATAGTTTAACATTAAATTACTGACATAAACGTAATTTACTTTTATGTATTTTGAGACTGCTAGTTATTTTTTGAATAATTCTACGGGTGAACCTCTTTCATTCACCGCTTCTTAATTAACCAATTAGAATTTACCATGTCATCTAATTAAACAAATTAAAACAATTAATATCATCTAAATAAAGAAATAAATAAATTCATTAAAGAAAAATTCTTGGATTCACCCAAAATTATATATCGGTTTGGGTTTATAAATTTAAATTAGGGTTTAGATTTTACAATTAAACAAAATTATATGTTGGTTTGGGTTTATAAAAAAGTTATTAGGGTTTAGATTTACAATTGAACAGAATTATATATTGGTTTGGGTTTACAAATGTGGATTAGAGTTTAGATTTTACAATTAAACGAAATTAATTATATGTCGGTTTGAGTTTATAAAAGAGTGATTAGGGTTTAGCTTTTACAATGAAACAAAATTCTATGTCGATTTGGGTTTATAGATGAGGTTTGGGGTTTAAATTCTACAATTAAATAAAATTACATGTCTTATTTTTTTCATGAATATTTGAGAGAATTTTGAGAAAATCTATTTTTTTTTTTTTATGTTTGAGAAAAGGTAGCCTTAAATAATTTAATGAATTATCTGAAATGATGGTAGAAAGATGAAAGGAAACATCATTAATTTATGTAAAACCAAAGACAAATTTTTTTTGTTGGCTTTGTATAACAAGAAACATATTTGAATTTAATTTTATTCATATTGAATTCGGAGTAACATATATAATGAAGAATTAATTAGTTAGGAGGCTTAGAACTGAGTTCACAGCAACAAACACCACCATAACTATATGTTCGACATTCCCCTCCTTTGGGATATCCCATAGACAAGCATTTTCTCCAGCATGGTGGTGTGGTTATACATCCGTCTTGCTTACAGTCATAATATTTCCCTATTTGGTTCATAAAAAACATATTAATATTACTTGAAGTACAAAATAATCAAATTAATGTTTTAACATGTTTATGAAATGAGTTTTTTTTTTTTTTTTTTGTGTGTTTAGTGATTTTGACTCAACTAGTTTTAAAAAATCTCAATTTGTTTCACAGAATTTCAAGTTAAAAAGTCCAAAAGTTTAAGATATAATATATCATTCAACTAATAAATAAGTCACCTGGTGAGCCCATGGAAGAAAGGATGAGAGCAAACATCATCAATGAATGTAATAAAACATATGAAAAGATCTTTGTTGTCATTAGTTATGTCCCGATGATGCAACAACTCTGTGTAAATATCATACAATAAAAATCATAAATTATATATAAAAAAAGATTCAAAATCAATGTAAAAGTTCATGTATAGGACATATGTAGTAAATATATTCAAGCATTTCTCAATATTTTGTTTCTTCACTATTTGATATATATAGTTGTATTTTCTTATAAGAAATTTCCAACATTCTCTATAACTTGATTTTGTATATTTATAAATCGATTTACCTTTTTCTTCTTCTTCTTCTAATATTATGTCATTTACTGAGATCTTATTGTTCTGGTCTTGGGTGTTAGTTTGTTTATATACACAAACACATATAATAAACCTTCCATATTATACTTATGAACATATAATTATGGTCAACAAATTTGGTCAATGAGTCTTATTATTTAATATGTTTCCATTTGATATTACATTTACATGTTAAATTTGTTAATTAGTCATGCTCTTCGGATCATGCTATTGTGAGCTGTAGTGAAACTCATGGCAAATCCGATGAGAATGGAAAAAAATCAGCTTTATAAGCTATATAAAAATCACAATCCTCACCTAAAAAAACACTCAATTTCTTCACAACCAAAAGATGACAATAGACCCATTTCGAAAATGGATGTATATGCATAAAGATTCAGTCAAATTATGATGCATTCAACATTATCTTTGGCAGCAACGATGATGACCATTAAAACTGATTAACAATGTTGAAGCAAGGGTAACCGAGCAACAAATTAACTATCTTAGCAGCTATCACCCGGTGGTTCTTCAGTACAGTCTACAGAATCTCTTTCTAAATCTGAGATTTATATATTTTGATTATTTTTCTTAGTATGAACGCCTTGTTCCATAAAGTAAAATGCATATTCAAGTACACATATAGTTATATAAATAAACATAAAAGTAGATGATAATTCAAAGAAAACATCTGCATAATGTGGATGTCGGATTCACACACTCAAGTATTTTTATTAGTAGGAAAGATTATTCTTGAGGGACAAAAAATAATAACGTAAAAAGGCTTATGAATACAAAAATTGCTATCGTATTCCTTTCTCTAAAAAAGATTCCTTTACATGGCCATTGGCCTCCATATTTATACATAGAGAAACGACATTAAAATGAGTAATTAAGTACAATTATTTCTTCTTAAATGTGTCCGTTTTGATTCCTTGACTTTAATGCTCAACGTTTGAATTTGAGTTGACTCTGATCTTCATGGGCCTCGCCTTTTTGGCCCAAGTGTCCTTGAACCGACTTACCCGTGTCTTCTACACCGAACTCATGTCACAGCGCAGTCACTTCGGATTCTCGAAGTGATGACAACCACTTCAACCGTTCCTTCGGCTCATGGGTCCAATGGGCTTTATCCTTTATGGGCCATTATCTTGACTACGTGGCAATCTTTGGTTGGTCTCGGACTTCTGGTGCGGGATCCGACACCAACACATAACATCAACGTTTTTGATCTAAAAAAAAAAACCTATGTTTGTAGTTTTTAGTGACGCAAAATTAATACAATACACGTACACATAGACATTATCGTTCATTGTTCCTAATGAATAATCTTCATGCATTATTAAAAAAATAATTTGACTAACATGATTTGTTAAAGATATTGTACTGACGTATTGAAAGACGACGAAGGTTAATGAAAGCGTCCCCTGAGAACCAATTTTGCTTTTACATTTATAGTATGCCACCATTCAGTGCCGACTCAACATTTTTTTGGGCCCTAGGACAAAAAAAAATTTTGGACTCTTAGAAAATTTTTTTTAATGTTTTTTTGCTGTAAAAAAAATTTCTATGCTATTTATGTTAAAAATATTAATTACTAATACTAAAAACAATAAATAAAAAATTTTATAGACCTTTCTAAATTTTATTTTTATGTTATAATCTAATTTTTTAATATTTTCTAAAAAATATTTTAGAAAATGGGCTCTTAATTATTGGACTACGGGATTGGACCCCTGGCCGTCGCACCGCCCGCCCACCCATCTGAGCCGGCACTGCCACCATTAAAACTAGGGTTAGGGTTCTTAACTAAATAAATCCTTAAAAATCTTTCAATTAAGCTAATATGTAAACAAGAGATCTCAAGCGATGTATAATTAGAGCTGTTCGCCGTGATTCTACGCAGATAGGGAAGTCTCGTCGGGTTGTGGATCATTACTGGTGTCCGTCAAGAGCATGGAGAAGAAATTGTCGTTTGTCGTGAATCTAATAAGGGTCAGAAGAAATTGTCTATGGTAGAATCGTCAATGTAACAGTTCTCATAAGGTTCAAAAATAATAAATCCAGACGTTAAAAAAAACACAAAAAAAAAATCAAAGTATCTTTTTAAGGGGTTTCCGGCCCGGTCCGAGCCTAGTCGGGCTAAGACAAAAAAACCCGTTGGCCCGAACAGGCTTAGCCGGAAGACCCGATTTTTATCTGGACACATATATTTAAGGCTGAGCCCGATATTTTTCAGGGCTGGGCTGGGCCGGCCAGCAGACTTTTATCTTAATTGATATGTCTACCCATCCCTTATGCTAGTTATTGAATTCTTTGAATTGTGATGATATATTCTTAGTTATACTATCATATATGGGTATTTTTGCAATTCGCCATATAGTTTACATATTATTGCTCATCGAAAAAATATTCCTCGTACTATTAATTTAAAAGAATATAACTAGAGTTCCCCTATTTTTATGTCTCCTCCGTTGTTTTCTTTATAGTTTATTAAACGTGTTCAAAGTTTAACTAGCTTTATTTCCTCCTAAAACCTTTAAAATGTGAAAGTTTCTTGACCAATGGTTAATGGTTTAAAGGTTTCTACACTAAGTATGAGGTTCGATTCCTAAAAAATGCAAATCTTATCATAAAGTATATTGTACTGTAGGCAGAGCGTAGGCAGAGCGTAGGCAAAGCTGTTCGTGCAGTATTGCATGTATGATGCGGGAGAGCATATCCATCAAGGAGATGTTGTACATGGAGAACGTCCGTTATGGATACGAGTGTTGCAGAGAAACTACGTTGTGGTATCATTATTTGTGAAATCTGTTCATATAATCGCATATGTTGCACGTAGTTGAAATAGAAATTGATCAAAAAATTTTAGTGGTGATGTAATAGAAGAAAGGTAAATATATACTCTGTTAGGATTTCATTTTATCTAGTTTAAAAATAATATTTCCTTAACTTTTGATTTTATGAGATTTCGTATTTTTTTAACTTTTGGTTCTAGTTTTAGAAATTCTATATTTCGATATTCTTTAATAAAGTAAGACAAACTTATCTAAACTCGGAAACATTATTTTTAGAAATGGAATAATAATAGAAAAACATTGTAGAACCCTTATTTGGTTAATTTTATATCATGTTATAGTATATGACTGTTTTAATAATATTGTTCGTTATCTTTATTAGTATGGTTTGTAAACAATAAAAACAAAATTTTTTAAAACATACTAGATTTTAACCGGCGGGAGAATTGTTTTTTCTAAAAGTAGTGATTTTTAAAATTTAAGAATTATTTGATATATATAAAAATGTGCAAATTATATCATTTTATAAGATATTACTATTTTATAGTTTACAATTGCTATTAAGTAAGAATATATCACGGGACATTTTTGGTTTTATGCAATCTTATCTAAATCAGGCTGATTTGATATGTCTAATATTGGTGGTGTTTAAAATAATAATTTAAAGATTTAACGCGTATTGAAGCGGCGGGTTAATGATATTTAAAATTTTTATTAATGTTGATTCAAACCCGTCCCACCATATAACCCGGTCCCGCAATATTATCCGTATCATGTTATTTTTTTTTTAATTGTTCAAATGTTCATAATATTATAAATTTTTTTATTGATTTTAGATATATCAATTATAATATTTAAAACTTTTTTAAAATTTAAAATATAATTTTTTTTTTTTTCGTCAAAGTGAAATTATATTAATACGAAATGTCATTATACAGAGCTTCCACAATCCAAGAAGGAGGATCATGGTTATCAGAATAAAAACATACAGTAAGACATCCAAATTGGGCAAGGTTATGAGCTACTTGATTACAATTACGATTAGCATAGCAAAAGTGCTTCTCTTTAAACTTTGAAGCCCAAAACCAGATATCTTGAAGAATGCCTACAATAGATGCGTCTCGTGAAACACCATTAATATTTTCGATTAAAACCTTGCAATCTCCCTCAAAAATAATGTTTGTAAAACCGCGAATCCATGATTGCTGCATTGAAGAAAGAAGGGCTTGCGCTTCTGCCTCTAGCGCTGAACTCGTGCTTTTTAGTCGTGAAGAACCCCAAGCCATAGCCGTACCTGTATGATCTCGAATGATCCAACCCGCAGACGTTTGCTTGGAAATGACATCAAATTTTGCATCAAAATTGCATTTATAGAAATTATCCGGTGGCCTTGACCAAGAATATACTCTGTTTGCGGACGTAGCATTATCGAAGTCGCTATGAGCTTGCTTGTCCAAGACTTCAAGCCATTCTCGTACATCCGTTTTCGCTTGTAAAGCTACTTTTGAAGGGCTATTTCTAACTTTGTTGAAAACTAAATTGTTCCTTGATTTCCAAATTTGCCAAAGTAACCAAAAAGGTAAAAATTTATTTGTTTTAGAGATACCTATGGTACGTTGCAAATTCATCAAACAAGACAAATTTTCTTCAACATTCTCGGAGGATAAATGTGCTTGTAGTACAGGTATATGTGAGAGTCTCCATGCTATAATGGCAAAAGGACATGTAAAAAGACAGTGGTTGATTGTTTCCTCCGCTTGTCCGCACCGCTGACATATTGGATCTAACTTCATACCTCTAGAGTTTAGTCGGGTCATTGTACCTATAGCTCGTGTTAAAATACGCCAGAGAAAATGTTTAATTTTTGGTATAATGGGTAATTTCCATATGGCTTTTTTCAAATTTAAAGATCCATGGGGGGGAGGCAGCCTTGAAACTTCTTGCGTCGGATC